GTAGGTGCTTTAGACCACTGAGCCATCTCACCAGCCCAACTTGTAGGTTTAATAAACAAATTTGGTACTGTAGCTTGTTATAAAATCAACACTCAAAAATTAATAGTATTCCTGTACACAAACAACGAAGACCCTGAGAGAGAAATTAGGGAAACCATACTCTTCACACAGAATCAAAAATAAAATGAAATCCTTAGGAATCAATCTACCAAAGGAAGTAAAAGATCTATACTTTGAAAACTTTAGTACTTTGAAAAAGGAGATCAAAGAAGATAGCAGAAAATGGAAAGATATCCCTTGTATTTGCATAGGGAGAACCAATATAGTGAAAATGGCCATACTCCCACAACTGTCACGCAGACTAAAGGCAATTCCCAAACCCACCAAAACAAAGAGATGTGAGAATCTGTGTAACAGATCAGAAGATGCAGATACAACTGCAAATACACTCAGCCACTTTATCTTTGATAAGTCAAATAAATTAACTGGAAGAAAGATAACCTCTTTAATAAATGGTGCTGGAAAAACTGGCTTTGCACATGCTAAAGACTGAAACTAGACCCATGTCTATCACCATGCACTAAACTAAAATTGAAATGGGTCAAAGAAATTTTTTTTTTTTTTTTTTTTTTTTTTTTTTGCGGAACAGGGGATTGAACTCAGGCCCTTGTGTTTGCCTGGGAAGCACTTATTCCACTGAGCCATCTCCCCAGCCCCTCAAGGAATTTTTTTTTAGTTTGTTGAGGCAGAGTCTCATGTAATTTCAAGAAGGTCTTGAATTGACTCGGAAGCCCACACCAACTTTCAACTTGGGTAATCCTTTTGTCCCAGCCTCTTGAGTGCTGGGATTACAGGTGTGTGCCACTAAGCTGAGCTCAAATATATAAATATTAAAACAGAAACAGTAAATCTGCTGCAAAACAGAATAGGTAGAACTTCAAGACATACATATAAGCAAAGATTTCATGAACAAAACCCAACTGCAAGGGAAATAATAAGAGTCAGTAACAGGGATCTACCTTAGTAAAAAGCTTTTATATAGCAGAAAATAAAAAATAAGTCAATGACACAGTGAAAAGACAAACCACAGAAAAATTTTTAACCAATTGTTCCTCAGACAGAAGATATATCTAGAACATGTAAAGAATTGGAAAAAAATCATATGTCCCAAATTTAAAGATCCAATCTCTTTTTTTATGTGTGTGTGTGTGTGTGTGTGTGTGTGTGTGTGTGCAGTACCGGGGATTGAACTCAGGACCCATGTGCTTGCTAGACAAGCTTTCTTCTTCTTCTTCTTCTTCTTCTTCTTCTTCTTCTTCTTCTTCTTCTTCTTCTTCTTCTTCTTCTTCTTCTTCTTCTTTTGCATAAAGATCCAATCTCAAAGTAGACATCTGAGACAAAAACACATTTCTCAAATGCAGAAAAACAGGTGCCAAATAAATATATGAAAAAAAATTTCAACATCATTGGTTACTAGAGAGATGCAAATTAAAAAAATGCTGAGATTTCATCTCACTCCAGAAAGAATAGTTATCATCAAGAAACCAATCAAAGGGGCTGGGGAGATGGCTCAGTGGAATAAGCACTTCCCTAGCAAGCTCAAAGGGTCTGAGTTCAATCAATCCCCAGTTCCGCCAAAAAAAAAAAAAAAAAAAAAGTCAAAGGCATACTTTTTTTTTTTGGAACCGGGAATTGAACTCATGCCCTTGCACTTGCCAGGCAAACACTTATTTTACTGAGCCATCTCCCTGGCCCAGGCATACATTTTGGAGACCAGAAAACATAGGGAGAAGGATAGGGAGAAAAGAGGATTGAAAATGGCCCAGATTATATATATTGTGCAGCATACATATGTGATTTGCACCCACTATGTGCTGGTTTCCAGAAATGAATGTAAACGTGTGTTGCAAACACACCCCAATAGATGCATAAGGCTGCTGAACTCATGCATCGACAATATTTAAATGGCAATGGAATACCCTTCTCTGACAAAACTAAACAAACAAACAAAAAAAGGGATACAAATGAAGGACCATTTTGTATCTGTATATGCAAAGTAGGACAGATATACAGCTACTTTCTCTTAATTCAATGAGAAGAAAGATTTGTACTAATAGTGTTTGGACAGGATATCATGTCTGCATCTTGTTCTATGAATAACTACTATGAAGACAACAATATGCAATGTATTAATTATTGTGTGACTGTCCTACTAACCTGTTTTGAAACTGTCTCATTGCTATTTGTTTCTCAATAAAATTAATAAAAAAATAAATAAATGCGTAAGGGAGTCTCTCAGGCCGCAGAGAAAGTCACCCTGGTTCTCACCCCTCACCCCCACCTCCAGCGACTCTGCTGGACCAGGCAGGCACAGGGGCGCGCCCGGTGCCCAGGGCTCAGGGGCGGTTCTCAAGGGCCGGCCTGGCTCTGAGCTGCGCTCGCCAGCCAGCGGGCGGGCACAGACGGGCCACGCCCTGTCCCCTTATATTCCGCTCCTGGCGACCCAGGGACGCAGGACTTGGCGGAGGAGCGGGCGCAGCTCTGCTCTGCACGTTGACTACAACGGCATGGCGTCTCAGGTACTGGACGGGATGTCTCGGGAAGGAGAGGACCCCGCAGGGGCGCGGCTGCGCCTGCCCGGCCCCCGGGGAAACTGAGGCCCCGCGCAGGCCGTGGGGGCCCCGCACCCACGCGCGCCTCCCGCCCGCAGCCTGCTCACGCGGAGCCGGTGCTCGTGGTCCACGGCGGCGGCGTGGAAGCCGTGTCCCCGGCCCGGAGGCAGCGCGTGCGCCAGGGCGTGATCCGGGCGGCCTCGCTGGGCCACGGCGTGCTCCTGGCCGGGGGCAGCGCGGTGGACGCCGTGGAGGCGGCGGTGGCGGCGCTGGAGGACGACCCCGAGTTCAACGCAGGTGGGCGGCGGGCGCGTTTGGTCCTCCTTCCCCAGCAGGCTGCTTCCAGAGCTTTCCGCTGCCGTGGTGCGCCCTGCCCGACCCGCTTCCGAGAAGCCCGCGGAGGGCCTCCCGGGCGCCCTGGAAGCCGAGTCCGCGCCCGACGCGCCGCCCACCTGGGTGCCCTGGGCGCGGGCTGCGCTGCCTGACTGCCGCGGACCTGCTCTCCTCGGGAAGCGCCGGAGCGCTCTGGGCCCCGCTGCAGGAAGCAAAGGAAGGTGACCGCAGGCTGCGTCCTAGCCCAGTGCAACTGCTGGTGGCTGAGACTTGCTGCCCGAGGGGCCGGGCGGCCGTCCTGCCTGCCGAAGGCCCTGCGTCTCCCTGCAGGGGACACTGAGACGCGGCCGCGCAGGTGTCCTCTTAGGGCACGATGGCTTAGGCGCCGGGGCATAAGCTGGGGCAGAGGACAAGGACTCGTGGGCGGGGGGCAGAGGCAGGGCTGCGGCAGCCCGCGCCTCTGCTCTGCCCAGAGCCTACGCGCTCCGCCTGCTCCTCCCTTTCGCGCTTCGCGGTGCAGGAGGTGGGGCCAGGGCTGCTGGCTGCAGGAGCTGCGGCCGTTGCTTCCCCTACTCCTGTCCCCACTGGCCCAAGTCTGGGCAGTAATTAGCACTCATAACCACTTAGTGAGTGTGTGAAGACAGTGTGTTTCTTTTACTGTGCTCGTTTGGTTTTTATTTAGGTTTCAGGTTCGTTCCATAATACTTGGCTTGAAGGCAGTGTACTTGTTAGACGCCAGTATATAAAGCTGAACTTTCAGGTTTGAAAGCTATACGTTTTGTTTTGTCTAGAGAATCCTGGTGATTCTGGGGTGCAACCAGGTTCAGATCTGCTTGGTAATGACACATTAGCTTTTTTAAATAAGGTGCTTTGTGCAGTATGCATGCATTTTCATAAGGGGTTTGTTTCTTTGCTTATGAAATATACAAATGGTAGTTCTGTGTCACAGAATATGGGTCAGGTTTTGGCACGTGGCTACTGCTGGTTTTGTATAAAGACTTCAGAAATCTGCCCTCCCTTTCTATTTTTTCTTAAGAGTTTGTGTAGAATTGGTATTATTTCTTCACGAGTGTGAGAATTTCCTGGTAAAGCTGTCTGAGCTTGGACTTTTTGTATATTCTTGGTTTATTTAGCAGGGTTCTCCTGCATATAGAACTACACAGGCCATTTATTTCTTCGCTGAGTGTGCCTTTCAGGAAATGTTTCCAGTTCATGTCATGTGTTAGATTCACAGCCCGAGATGGGGTTGCAACATCTCTTTACTGTTCCATGCCTCCAAGATGTGCACGGCACCCCCTCTCTCATCCATGAGCACACGCGCCAGCTGGGTCTTGCTCCTCTTCCTTCTTAAGAGTCATGGAGCAGGACCCGCTAGGCATGAGCATCACAGTGCTTCTGTATCTTGACTTTGTTGTGACATAGATTTCCCCCGAGCAAATGAGTATTGCTAAAGCCAAGCCAGGAAAGCTCCCCAGCCTGACTTTCTAGGTTGCCTGCCTCTCCGCACCCCGCAAGGGTGTGTTCCTGAGCACAGAGCATCCCCTTGCTCAGATCGGAAGTCAGAGTGTGCTGTCTGTGTCCTTGTTAAAACCAATCTCAAGGGACTGACGGTGCCCAGAGTCTCCTGGGAGGTTCTCGCTTAATCCTTTCCTCTACCCAAAGGAGCGATTTCCCTAATTTGGGTTTGATCCCTGGCTCAGTAGGACACAGGACAGGTGGAGGCTGTGAGCACCCATCCCTGCCAGGAGGGAGAGGCCAGTGGGCTGGCTCCTGGCTCTCCACACACTGCGCTGTGCAGGTGGCAGGAAAGTGAGGAGCCAGGCTTGAGGGGAGCAGAGCACACGGCAAAGGTGCAGGCAGCAGGAGCTGGGGTGTGGCCAGGGAGACCTGGCAGCTCTGTGAGAAGGGCCACGGAGAGGAGACCAGCTGGAGGGCGAGATCTGGGGCCAGGTCAGCGGACTGAGGGCTGCTTATCCCAGAGGCCACAGGTGCTCTTAGCCTGCCCGTACTGCAACTATAAAATGACCGACTTGGGTGCTGAGAAGGCAAGCAGGGCCAGGAGCACGGCTCCGTGCTGGTGTTCGCCTGGTGTGTGCATTCCATCCCCAGCTCCACGGAGAGACAAGAGTGGGAAAGAAAGAAAGAAAGAAAG